TTTTTTTTTTTTAATTCTCTTTTTATTTTGTCTCTCATTTGTATTATGTTTTGCTGACTGAAAGAGACTGGGCCTCACGACACAGGGAATCCTAGTGTGGGGTCCAGAGCCATATAAATATGTAATGTGAAGCTTTTTGTCAATAAAAAATATTTTTATTTTTTTTTTTTATTTTTAATGCCTTCTCCCGACCGGTTGAGGTGAGAGGGAGTGTCAGACTCTTACTGACTAAAACCCACCCCGTTCCTTCTTCTGCACTACGAGCCGGAGCCCCGGTAACCCGTTAGGTTCTCCGCGACTCCGAGGACTTGCTCCCTAGGTGCATTTGTTACTTAGATGATTAAGTTTTTACTCCAATAGTTAGTCCCTTGAAGATTAACTGGACATTTCTAAAATTGTAGATGGTAGTAGCAAAAAATAAAAAAGCAATTCTAGGGATTTTTACTTTGAGTTCAGTTTCATTCCATAAAATTCTAGAATATATAATATTGTGTGATTTTCCTTTTCTATTAGCGTAGTGTAGCTCCATTTTGAGGATTTACAATTCTTTTATAAACTACTTTTAAAAAAACGTTGAGTACCGTCATTATAGACACAATTAAAGAACAATAGGTTGCGGTCACCGGTGTCCGCGCGGTGTTTGACAGTTAAATATTCTAAAACCTTCTAAAAAATTCTAAGTGTCACAAATTATTTTCTAAAAGCTGCATCAAAATCGGTTCAACCAATCGCGAGATAATCGCGCACAAATAAACATTCATACATACATACAAATATACATGCATATACCTCTATATAGGTAAAACTGAGAACCTCCTTCTTGTTTTGAAGTCCGTTAAAAACCTTTTCGGAATATTCGTAATGTACTATTTGCGACACAACAAGCTTAGTCCGAGCGAGATAAATTTTATTAATTATACGTTGACATAAAACAAAGTAGAAATGTACTGTAAGCTAGTTTTTTATCACATTATCTTTTATACAAAATACTAAACAGGACAACTGTTATGTTTTAATAAATTTTCTTTTGAAACTCTACTGCTTTTCATATAGTATAACTCACAATTCGCCCGGTCAGTGCCTCGGCAACCGGATGCCGCGCAACGTGTAGCGGGTTCGATTCCCGTACAGAGCAACTCTTTGTGTGATCCACAAATTACTGTTCCGGGTCTGGGTGTCAGGTGTATGTGAACTTGTATGTTTGTAAACGCACCTACGACACAGGAGAGAATCCTAGTGCGGGGCAACGTTTTTTTTAAAGATTAAAAAGAAAAAAAGAATTTGTTAGATTCTCAACTTTATTTTTTTGTGATATGCTTGAGAATTTACG